GGTCCAGTGTATCTGTCTACTGGTGATCTGAGAATACAAATTATTTTGAAATAGAGGATCAACATTTAAGCTGGTGAGTTCATAAGTATTTTAGTGTCAAATGTTTGTATATGTTTGATGAAAGTGTTTGTAAATGTTTGTATCTCCTAGAAAATCCTATATTTTCTACTTATCATGAAATGTAGCCTTCTACCAAGACCCGAATGTTCTGCATGTTGTTTGTTTGTAAAAGTGAGTGTTTTCCCAAATATGACTATCATTACCAAAATTTAGTTTACATTTCCGTTTATGTGAGAAGATCACAATGTGAATGCAATGGGAAAAATAAAGATGTGTTGTAGCATTGTATATAGTAACTATCGTTGTACTAATTACCTTAAATCAATTGTTTAATTAAGGTAAAATGTGATATGATTGTAATCATGCTTGATCGACTAGTAAAACACGACATTCGAAGACGTCGAAATGGTATGACATTTGAAAGTTCACGTTTGGTTTCTAGAAAATCCGATATTTTCTTATAAAATGAGTTATGAATCGTTGTTTGTATGAAATGAATGTATTGAACCAGGAAAATCATATATTTTCCTAAAAGTGAGAAGCGGTCTTAAATTCCCAAGATTGTAACTTGTAAGCAAATATATCATGCTTAAAATGATGATGTATAGTTTTTTTAGTGAACAAAACTATAGGAAGCTTGTATTTTCACGTAAAAATAACTGAAATATTACTTTTCCCGTAAAAACATAATATCATAATAATTGTTTATCCTATGAGTTGTCATAACCGTACTATGATGGATTTGCCTGTAGCAACGTTCTTCAGACGTCGAAATGTTATGACACTTGTCACCCTTAACCTGCCGGTCCGGCTGTAGCTAACAACCAGGGTGCGGGATCATCAGTCCGTATAGATCTATACACACTTATCACGTTCTCCGAACGGATACTCTGGTTATAAAATAGGGCTTTCTTGTATACCTTGATAGGTACGATGAAGACGAATGACTCACATATTATCAATTAAGTCACATATTTTTGAAATTAATGTGTTTATGTCCGAAATGATTACCCTTTTTACTATGTTGATAAAGGCATAACAATGATTTGTATTTTCTTATATATATATATATATATATATATATATATATATATATATATATAAGTAACGTTATAGTTCAAATGTTTACCCTTGTCAATATGTGTTATGCAAACATATAAATAAAGCATATTTGTATTTACAAACATATTTCATCCCGAGAGGGTAAAGTGGTATCATAAGATGTTTTGCATGCTAACCTTTTCATATGATAGTTATAACAACAACAAGGAATGTATAGTAAAAGATTGATGTTTTCACACGATTTTAACCGTGTGTTTACTTGTATTCCCCCTTAAAAGTGTTTAAAAAGCGTTTGAAAAGCATTTAAAAGTGTTGTGATAGGGGTATGAACTCACTTGGTAAGAAGAATGACGATTTGATGAAGACGATGTTTAACTCGGGCAGCACTTTAACTGGAAAGAAGCAAGTTTCTTGGGAACTTCAGGACTTCGGGCTTTCGTCAGGGCTTGGACACGTAACTGGGGCGTCGGGGTAGTCTCGGGATGCTTAACACAGAGTAAAAGTAGAAAGGAGAGTAGAATTGAGCAGCCTAAACCCGAGACCTTCGGTTTCAATTTATAGGGTGGGTTTTTGGAGTTCACATCATGAACTTGGGGTGGTTCACATCGTGAGTTTTGATCTTATCCCTTTCGTAGACTCGACGTCTGATAGCCCGTGTCTAGCACACATCAGTCACTAGCTCACGTCGTGAGTCTTCTAACAGTGTGGGGTTTCGTGTCCCGAACTTCAGAAATTAATATCTCTCGCATACGAGTTCCGATTTTGATGTTCTTTATATCCACGTGTAGGTGAAATTATGCTATACAACTTTCATTTAGACTCCGTCGACTAATTTTGACTTTATTTTTTATATTATATTTTTAAAAGGTCGGGACTAGAAAAGTCTGTTAAAAATCCATAACTTCTTCATCTGATGTCCGTTTTCGTCTGTCTTTTTACCATTGCACTACTATTGTCGAGGTCTTCGATTCTTGTTTAGGTTACGTCGGCTAAAAGTCGTTCGAGCTCTATTTCAAGTTTTTAGCTGTCTATTGCTATATCCGAAACTTTAAAGAAATCATAACTTCCTCATACGAAGTCAGATTTTGAGGTTCTTTTTATGTACGTTTACTACGGTTTAATGTATAATAATTTTTATAAAAAACAAATCTTAAATAATTTGAATTATATTAAATACTAAGAAAAAAACGAATAAATTAATTGTTTTTATTGTTTTCTAAATTAGATTTACAGATGTATAACATAATTTTTTTTTTCTTTCATAAAATTAGGCTTATACATATAAAGTGACCAAAGATATGGTTAAAAAGGTAAATTCGAACATATCTAAAAAAATAAAATTTTCACAAAGCCTAATTTAACTGTATAATTGTAAACATACGCAAAGTGCGGGATTACGTCTAGTTGTCAGTAAAAGGTACCGATTTATGTTCTTCGTTGTAATGTTAATATAGCACATATGTCATCATTTACGAACAAGCATATTACACAAGATATCGTATCATTATGTTTGGTCAATTTCATTGGCAAAGACATGTTCAAAAAAGTTATTGATAAAGATATGAAAAATACGAAAATATATATATACATAGACACAACGTAAATTCTAAAATATTTTAACCATATAATTGTTTTCTAACGAAACGCACGAAGATTCACCTAGTAAGTTAATAACCATAGTACCTATATGTAAGTGTGGGATTTACTTAATATAACTTTCATAGTCAATGATATCATCAAACAGGTTTAGATTCTAGATTCAAAATTACGTAAGATAAGCCAATTTGACTGCCGCTCAGGCTTTGCAAATGAGAAGTTGATTAAGTGGTTTTTAGGGTGATGAAATTGTGTCCGAATAAAATAGAATATACACTATAAAATAAAGATATCTATTCAAACACAAATAAAAATTGTGACTTTTCTTATAATAATAATATCTGACATTTGGCATATATTCGTGAGAACCTACTTGTCAAATACATTTGAAATTTTGAATCAAACAATTTCTCCTTACAAATACATTCCTCTCATAATCAATGATATTATCAAAAGGTTTACGCACTAGATTGGAAATTACCTAGGACCGGTTGGTGGTAGGAACTAGAAAGTGTGTTGAAATCGTGTCTTGATTTCGGCATCTAAATGAAATACAGATGAAACTTTAAGGGTGGGATAAGTAATATTTCAAGAAAGAAGGTCTACTTCATGATTGTGACATACACCCTCACGAGTCACGAGTATGCCTAATGAGACTTCGTACGTTAGGAGTTGACTAACGCGCTTAAGTCATCTTTATTTTTATTTTTATTTTGTAGGTTTACAATATTATTATTGAGATATTCAAAAAATGTACATTAGAAATGATAAGGTGCCTCTCTACAACCAACGTTTTAGGCATGTGTAAAAATGACCATCCAATACGAAATGATCTATTTCGGACGAGGCCAATTGATTTCTGACTAACTTTCTATCTCATCAAACTACATTTATATGACAAAAATGTTACATTTCGGATTTCAGATTAAGGAGTAATAATTTCGGACTTTGAAGATGGTACTTTTACATAAAAAGGTATTTCGGATAACTAATCTCTAGCACTTATTCGCATGAATCATGGCGATGCATTCTTGTCTAAGTAGCTCGAGCTCCCAAAACGTAGATGCTATCAGATAAATTATTTTTTCTAATTATTTTGTGCCAAAATTCAAAGAATTATGGTAAATTCCAAATAGTTTATTAAAAAGTAGTAATTATAGCTTCGATTGCATCTTTCTTAAACCGAGAGATCGTTAGTGATTCAATACAATCAAACACTTTAGAAAGTGTCTGCAAAACAAGCAACGAACAACAATACCACCCAACAACATATATATATATATATATATATATATATATATATATATATATATATATATATATATATATATATATATATATATATATATATATATATATATATATATCAAATACTACGACATTAAAATGCAATTTTAATGCAAAAAATAACCAATTCGAATGTAGTTTTGAACTTGTAGACACCCGATAATAGTAGACTACTCTAAATTAAGACCACATAAACAAATAGAAACCATTCGCATTCGGGTCCAAAATGCACAATTCTGAAGTTGGGGAGTCATTTTTGTGAATTGCAATTTTTTTGGTTATTTATTATAATCCTATAAAGACATGTGATTATTTTTTGTGAATATCCTATGTTTATTTGACTAAATTTACAAGTCATTAATTGTTATTTAATTTTAATATTAGGAAACCACTGATGGTGATTCATATTGTTTTAGGTTTTACATAGAAAATACCATTTCATAGTCAAACGTGGTGACATAAACATATATTTATTAATTTAATATATAAAAATGCAGTATATGCCAAATCTAACCAAAGGTATTTGTACAAGTCTCATAACTGTAGATCCGTTATTAGTCATACCAACTGATAAATACTAACAATAATACATTTATGCCGACGAACAAGTCTACATGGAGATATTCACCAAAGTTTTGATTAGAAACAAATTCTCACGCTTAAATTATTAAAACTACACAAAAGCCCCTCAAGTTTCCTCTTTTGCAATTTAAAATGGACCAGGAAAGTAAATCCCTCATGGCATCCATTTACGCAAATCTTCAAAGCATTATCACATGAGTGTTCACAACAATAAACTCTTATATCCCCTAGATCTATTGAAATCCTGATTTTTATGATAACAATTCATGGAGAAAATGCCACCAAATGAATTAAGATTTAAAATGTTATTTTTAAATAAAAGATGGGTTTTATTGTACAAATTATAAAACCTAAAGATAACATTTAAACAAGTCCCCATAGATCTATTTCATGGTCATAATTGAAAGCGTCAAGTTGGTTTTTTGTTGATTGTCTTTGACCCCTCACCTACTTTGTTTATTTAGCATCTTCTTCATACTTCCAACTTGTGCATAGTTTTCTTCCCAAAACACTAAGAAAAGAAAACAAAAGAGAGCCATGGGAAAAAAGTTTGATGCGCTAATTGGCCGGAAATTTAAAACCTCTAAGCTTAAAACCACCCTAAACCTTGCCATCTCCCGGCTCTCACTACTCAAAAAGCATCGCCTTGCAAGGTTTACCATCGCCCGCTCTGATATCATCCAACTCCTCCGCCTTAACCACCACCAACAAGCCCTCCTTCGGGTATATTTTATATGTCTGTCTATCTGTTTGTCTGTTTATCTATTTATTCATCTGTCTATCTATCCATCTATTTGATTATAACAAACATGGTTTTCATTGAAAAAAGTTTCAAATTATTTATGTAATGGTGTAATTGTGATAGGTTGAGCAAGTGATCAAGGACCAAAACATATTGGATGTGTATGACATGATACATGGCTATTGCAATCTCCTCATACAAAGGATCAACTTCATAGAACAAGCCAAGTAAGTTGTTTTTTTCTTTCTATTTTCTCACTTTTCATAAACAAAAGAATGATGTTTTACTTACTTAAAAACTTTTTGTTTTTTTTAGTGAATGTCCAAAAGAATTGGAAGAGGCGGTATCAAATCTATTATATGGGGCTCCAAGATGTGGGGAGTTTCCGGAACTTCAAAAGATTCGTGAGATTTTAACAAGTCATTTTGGAAAGGAATTCGCTGAGGGTGCTAGCGAGTTACGTAGAAACTGTGGAGTTAGTCAAATAGTAAGATTGTTATATTAAAAAAAATTATAGTTGTGTTTTTATACAATACGAAGGTTTTGTTACTTTAATAACTAATTAAAGAATGTTTAATTTTATTGTTTTAGATGATACAAAAACTGTCACCCGCACAATCGACTTTGGAGTGCAGAATGAAGATACTTACGGATATTGCCAAAGAGAATGGTATAATTTTGCAACTAGATATATCTACTCCCGAAATAAGAAAGGTTTGTAGAGAAATGTAATTAAATTAACAAATTTCATAAGAAAAAAATGTTAAAATTCGAATCTATGGTTGTAGGAGAAAGTGGTGGTGGAAAAGAAAATTGAAAAGCAAATGAGTTTCTCTGAGGCAAAAAATTATAAAGAAGCAACAGATGTTGCACAAGATGCATTTGAATCAGCGGCTTATGATGTAATTGCCGCCAGAGCAGCGGTGGAACTTGCTCGCAGAGCAACGGTGGAACTCGCTCGCTCAGAGTCATTTGTTTCTGATGGTTCGGATTCAAACTCAGACGTAAATGAATTATTTCATTCTGCTAAAGATTATATTATTTCACAAGGACAGCAAGTAAACATAGAAAATAAGCTAAATTCTACAAGGATCAAACGATTGAATAGGCAATAACCGGTGGAAGTAGCTTATCATTTTTCGCAAGGTTTTTTTTTTCTATTTATGGTGGTAATTAAATGCTTTTTGGTATCTAAAAATATAGGAAATTTTACAGTTTGGTATTTTGTTGGAATTCAGGATGTTTTGTAAAGCTTGAAATAGAAAATATTCAACATTGCATTTTTACTATTATTATTAGGTTTATTTGTAATAGCACATGTATATTTTAGAATTATTATAATTGTATCTTTTGATTTAGTCTTTTAGTCAAATACTCTTAGCGTTTGAATAGGAGAGAATATCTCTCATTCAACAACTCTTTCCTTGTATATATGTTATTGTATATTCGTGAGTTTCATATACAGAGAAATCAATTTCAATTCTATTCACTATATGGTATCAGAGCTCAATCTCGATTCATAATCCTCTTCTTCTCTATTTTTTTTTTCTCGTTTCTCAGCCCCTATGGCATCTGGAGCGCCTAATCTCCTCAATCTCGCTACTGCCACCGCCTCTACCCTAAATTTCCAGATCCTTGTTATCACAATCAAATTGGATCACAAGAATTACTCTCTTTGGTGTACCACCATTGTTTCGGCTCTTGAAGCTTTTGATTTGGCATCGGCAACTTCCGTACCTGCTGACCCAATTGTACCTGGCCCAACCATGCCATTGTCACCCACTGGACCCGCTCCAACTCTACACAATCCAAATCTAACTCCACAACCTAGCTCACCATCTACCCTATCGACATTCATCTCCAACAATCATACTTATCAACATTCGCATGTTCCTTCCAGAGCTCATCCTGATACGACAACCTCAATTTTTCGTCCATCTGACACCACTCAGCATCCCATGGTAATCAGGGCTCGCACAAACTTACTCAAACCAAAAGCTCTTCTTGCCAACACGTCACAGCCTGTTAATATTGAGCCGAGCACTTTCTCTCGAGCAAACAAATCCAAGTGTTGGCGAGATGCCATGAAGGCTGAATATGATGCGTTGCTCAACAACAACACCTGGTCTCTTGTTCCATGCCCCACTAACTCTAACATTGTTGGTTGTAAGTGGATTTACAGGCTAAAGAAAAGATCGGATGGCAAAATTGAAAGACATAAGGCAAGATTGGTGGCTCAGGGTTTTAGTCAAGAGGCAGGTATCGATTACTTTGACACCTTTAGTCCAGTAATCAAACCCACAACAATTCGGTTAGTATTGTCTATTGCTCTTTGTAAGGGGTGGAGAATACACCAATTGGACATCAATAATGCATTCCTAAATGGTGATTTATCTGAAGTGGTGTACATGAAACAACCAAAAGGATTTGAAGATCCAACGCACCCCAATCATGTATGTAAGTTGCATAAGGCGTTATATGGCCTTAATCAGGCACCCAGAGCTTGGTTCACAAAACTAAAAACCTATCTGGTCACAAATGGTTTTCGTGCTTGTCAATCTGACACCTCTCTCTTTGTTCATGTTACATCAACAGTCACCATCTATGTTCTAGTATATGTTGATGATCTGATTGTAACAGGAACAGATGACTATTCTTTCAAACTTTATTGGTCATCTCCACTCTATGTTCTCTCTGAAAGACATGGGTAATCTACATTACTTTCTTGGCTTGCAAATTCAGAAAACCAAGTCCGGACTGACGGTATCTCAGGAATCCTATATTACAGACATTCTAAACAGAAGCAACATGTCATTGTCGTCTCCAGTTACCACACCTTCTAATCCAAACACTCGTCTCATCAAGGAGGGTGATCCATTCTCAAATCCAAAGCTTTATAGACAGATTGTGGGTTCCTTGCAATATGCCACCATTACGAGACCTAACATCTCCTATTCCGTAAATCGTGTCTGTCAATATATGCATTCTCCAACATTTCAACATTGGCAAGCTGTCAAACGTATTCTCCGCTATCTAAATGGCACCAAACATTATTGCCTACATTTCAAAGCTACGAATGCCAAAGGATTACATGCTTTTTCTTACTCCGGGTGGAATTCTGATCGCGATGACAGTCATTCTCAATATGGCTATGTTATCTTTCATGGAACTAATCTCATCAGTTGGACGTCACGCAAGCAAAGGGTGGTGGCACGTTCTAGTACTGAAGCAGAGTACCGATCACTAGCATATACAACTGCTGAACTTCTTTGGCTCCAACAATTGGTTGCTGATCTTCAAGCTCCTATCACAGCTCCACCATTACTCCTTTGTGATAATGTAGGAGCAATCTTCATGACAAAGAATCCAATGATAAGCACTCGTTCAAAACACATAGCTTTAGATTTTCACTTTATTCGTGAACACATGGAAACTGGACAACTAAAAATTTCTCACGTTTCATCTGCCGATCAACTAGCGGACGTCTTCACTAAAGCACTGGGAAAAGCTCGTATGCAATTTCTAAGATCCAAGCTTCAAGTTTGTCCCGGTCTTGAGCTTGCCGGGAGGTAACAGCACGTGTATATTTTTGAATTATTATAATTGTATTTTTTTGATTTAGTCTTTTAGTCAAATACTCTTAGCGTTTGAATAGAAGAGAATATCTCTCATTCAACAACTCTTCCCTTGTATATATGTTGTTGTATATTCGTGAGTTTCGTATACAGAGAAATCAATTTCAATTCTCTTCGCTATAATTTGTAAAGCTTGAAATAGAAAATATTCAACATTGCATTTTTACTATTATTATTAGGTTTATAATATTAAATTTTTCATCAAGACAATAAAACAAGATGCTCAAATCCAATATAATAAAAGTTAAATTCAAAACCAAAACTAAAATTAAGTACATAATATCTTCCTACATATCTTTCTATCCATTTAAAATGATAACAAGTGTATTAAAATATTATTAATTTTATCCAACTATAAAACATGTCTCAATTTCATTGGATAGGAACATTAACCAAAGGTAGAAAGGTATTTAATTCCTCTTAAATATATATTAGATTATTAGTTGTTTATAGTCAATAAAAGACAAGGATTGATCGGGTCTCTTTCCATACTCTTATGACCATAATTTTGCATTTTGATCTTATCCTCGAAACACAACCCAATCAATACACGGAGCAAAATTTTGCAGAAATGGTCCCTGTGGTTTGCTTAGAATCGCAAATTTGGTCCAATCTTTAAAATAGTTGATAGATCATGTCTTTGTGGTTTAGAAAATTTACAGTTTTGGCCCTAGTCCATATCAAAAGACTATTTCACCCTTTAAAATTGAATTAGTGATCATGTCATGTGGTTTCAAAAAAATGACAGTTTTGGTCCCTGGTCCATATCAAAATACTACTTTTTACCCTTTAAAATTGAATTAGTGCTAGCAGTGGGACACACTATCAGTTTCTGAAAGGGTCCAATCTCTTAAAAGTTGATATATCATGTCCCTGTGCTTTCAAAAAATGGCAGTTTTGGTCCCTGGTCCATATAAGATTGAAAATGAAGAAAAAGGGGTTTCAAACTTTTAATATAAAATGTTTGCTCTTTTCTGAGTTTTTCAAATTATCATGTGGACCATTTATATATTTATATAATACTAAATGTCAAAAAGTCAAAATCATTAACAAATAACAATTAACAATACTAACAAAACTACTAATTTATAAATCTGATTACCTCATAAGCATAGCTGCTAGCCTCTGAGGCGTTTCTTTCCATGTGGCATTAAAGTAGAATATGTCTGCAAACTCACACCAATATCTTCATCATATTCAACACCAAGTTCCTCCTACACAAAAATAAAAAACCACATTAATAAATAATACTTAGGCTATTATTTAATATTTATATTTTTTTAAAGAAACAAAACCTTGAATTCCTTTGGGGTTTTGGGTGAATTTTCAGTAATTGTATCCCACACATCTTTAAACATTCTCTTTCTTTTTCTCCAATGACTTATTGCATCTGAGAAAGTTTTCTCAACAGCTTTTCGTTCTTCTGGGCTCACTAAAGTTACCCCTCCCCGTAATTTCGCCAATCTTTCTTCCATTTCCTTAACCTAATACAATTATAAGTATTAAAATCCAAATTAGTGAAAAAGGTCAAATTAGTCATTTAAAGAAAACCTGGATTCTTAGTTTTGCATCATTGGAAAGTATCTCTTCCAGTGTTAAGTTTGACTGCAAAGACTTTATTTCTGCAATAAAAAAGATTATCATGTAAAATAAATATACCAAATTATTGATTTAGAAGGTGTGGAATTGGAAAGATAAAAGATTACCTCCTTCAAGCTGACTGTTTGCTTTCTTTTGTTCTTCCAAGATTTGTTGTAATTTGGAATTTTCTTCCTTCATTTGATTAAGTTCTTCAGTGTTTGGAATCTGAAACTGATCTTGTCTAGCAAGGTATATTTTCTGTTTTCCATATTCTTTAAATGTTATTTTTCCACTATCAGCAAGAGTGTCAAGAGCTTTCTGTATTGCAGTCTTTTTCAGGTTAAATTTTTGCAAGAAATCAGCAACAGTTTGAGAGTTCAATGGTCTATTTTGCTGTAGAAATTAACATCATAAAAAGATATGAGAGAAAGAATCAAGAAATCAACATAACAGTTTGAGAGTTCAGTAGTCTATCATTTCATCAGTCAATGCTATCCTATTTTGAATGCCCTTTTGAACAATTCTTTTGGATATTCTCATAGACTCTTACATGTGATGTGACAGGGTTAAAATGCAAATTGTCAATTCATAGAGTTCCAACGTTAACAAATTTACACTGATATCAGACCTTAGTTTGCATAAACTATCTTGAACAAATTGGATTATCCATTTAGATAACTTTTTCCTTGAGTCTGTATGTTAATGCCTTTAAAGCCAGAAAAGTATAAAGGTTAAACATCAAATTCATGTGGGGAAAAACGAATCTACAAGCTGGATTAGAAGAAATCCTAATTGATATCATCTAAAACAAACTTGTGAAACACTGCCATGTTTGCAGTTCTAACCCTGAGCTACATCTGAAAGTTATTGGAAAACATGATTGTGTATTGTAAATGGTTCTTCGCAGTTTGGAAGAGCAGCTATGCATCAAAAGATCATGACAAATCACAAAAATGTTGTAGCTACAAAAATTCAACTGATAGTATCATATATCCGCAATACTTGCACCTCATGTCAGAAAGTTGAAGATATCCATATGGAAATTAAAACATTTTGTGTTAGTTGCAAAAACTCTGAAGCTATTGTAAGGGAAAATACTTATTTTAAAGCATGCAGATTGAAAGGATCCGTTGCAGTGCTTATAAAAAAAATCGATTAACGAAGTTGTAGCTACAAAAATTAAGCTCGGATACTGAATTTTACCTCGTTGACGAAGTTAAGCACGATTCCTGCAAATTATACATCGGCGCA